TGTTGTTCAGCATCTTAGCTGTAGAGGGCAGTGTCACTGGCCCTCATATGTGAGATCTGAACTGGGGCCCTCTGGCATCCCAAGCCAGCTCTTAACCATCGCACCACTTGGCCGTCGCTGCATCTGTTTTCCATGTAGTAAAATAGGCATGGTAAGGAGTGCTTTTGAGTTCATTAGTCAGTGCTCCCAGCTAAGTAGTTGAAATCTAAGTCCTCAAAGGAGCTGTTGAAGCCATTTCAAAGTTGCAGTCTGAGCAAGAAGGAATTCTGCCAGTATATGGCCTGTGAACTTCAACTTGTCTCCAGGGTGACTGCCTACCTGGCAGATTTTGGACTTCTACCTACCCATGAACCAATTCCTTACAGAAAATTTTCTCTATATATGCATATTTCCTTGGCTCTTTCTCTGGAGATCCCTAACCGATACAGGTGTTGAAACTATGTAGAGGAAAAAATTGTGAGGAAAACTCGAGTACAGAGGGTGGGAAATTCCTCAGAGAAAAATATGTATTGTATCTTAAACATTCTTTGAGTTAAAAGGCTGAGGTTTTTATACCTCTGCATTTTGTTCCATGTCATTTCCCTTAAGGTTTAAAATATTTGTCCTTTAAAGTTGTGGTTTAAGAGAATTAAAGTGGTAAGTACTAGAAGTAGGAATAAGATTTGTGTTTTTTATTGCAACTTTTTTTTTTTTTTAGAGAAAAAAAGAAATTGATAGTGTAACCTGGAATCCCAAGAATGAAGTCACTTCAGGTTGGCTAGATAGAGAATGAATCAAAGGCATACACCATTTTTGAGTCTGTTTCTCTATGTCTAGATTTTGACTTTTTCTCTGTTGGCCTCATCTCAGCCATGATTTCAAACTGGCAAAAATGCATTACAGGCATTTCCAGGCCTGTAGTGATTTTATGGCTAGTGACCCCAGAGAAGAGCCCTCTCTTCCATAGTTTCAGCTAGAGTTCAAAGCTGACTCTCTTTGGTCTGGCTTTGTCACATGCCCTCCCTGTTCTAATTATCCAGCCAGAAAGATGGACTAGTCTCCTTGGTCAGTCTAGATAATGTGCCCCATGTTGAAGGTGGTGTGAGCCTGTTGTATTTGTAAAGGGAGAGTGTCTCTCCTGTTTCAAAGAAAAAGTTCCTTTTTCAAAGAAACTTGAGGGCCTATTACCAAAAGAAGATAGAGTGGATGTTGGGTACACAAAAGATGTTGATTACAGATTCACTGAAGATAATTTATATCATTTTTGGATCTAATTAACTAGGAAGTAAGAGGCATGTATAAGTTGTTAAATGGCTTGATGAAATTGTGTATTAACATGACAGTGTCATGGCCAAGGTGTAGAGATGTTCCTTGGATGAATACCACCTGAGTGCAGTTGAGCAAGTGAACTCAAAGCACCCTGGTTGTATTAACCTACAGGGCAGATTCTCTTGGCTTATTTGGTGCCTGGTCATTTTGAGTAGGAATTATTCAGAATAGGAGGTACAACTACCTTCTGAATAACAGCATTTTTGCCGTTGAAACTGGCTTAAATTATGTTTATTTAAAAAGTAACCACATTCTTGGGGCTAAAAATTAAAACTGTGTGCCAACATGGAATGAAGTCTTTCCCTCACACTCCCTTTCTCTGGTCTCCCACTCCATTCCCCTGAGGCTAAAACTGTTGCCAGTTATTTGGGTATTTTTCCAGATATATTCTATGCATATTCAGTGACCTCTACCCAAAGTCTTTAATCCATTTTGAATTTATTCTTGTATATGGTATAAGAAGGTGGTCCAGTTTCATTTTTTTCATGTATCTGTCCAGTTTTCCCAACACCATTTATTGAACAGTCTTTATGCCATTGTATAGTCTTGCCTTCTTTGTCATAGATTAAATGACAATTTGTGTGGGTTTATTTCTGGGTTCTCTATTCTGTTTCACTGATCTATGTGTCTGTTTTAATGTCAGTACCGTGGGGTTTTTTTTTCTTTTACCTGAGCCATCCTGCCACCTGTTGGCAGCTCAGCGGCAGCTCGGGACAGGAATCGAACTGCTGTTGCTCAGAGCTTGCACTCTTGAGCGAGCTCTTAACCAACTGAGCCACTAGGCCAGCCCAGTACCGTGGTGTTTTGATTGCTATAACTTTGTAGTATAGTTTGTTATCAAGTAGCATGGTACCTCCAACTCTGTTCTTAAGATTGCTGTGGCTATTTGGGGTATTTTTGGGTTCCATATAAATTTTAGGATTATTTATTCTAGTTCTGTGGAGTATCTTTTTTTTTTTTAATTTTATTGGGGAACAGTGTGTTTTTCCAGGACCCATCAGCTCCAAGTCAAATAGTTGTTTTATTCTAGTTTTGGAGGGTGCAGCTCAGTGGCCCATGCGGGGATCGAACCGGCAACCTTGGTGTTGTGAGCACTGCACTCTTAACCAACTGAGCTAACCGGCCGCCATGTGGAGTATATCTATATTTTTAAAGATTTTTATTGGGGAATTGAGGGATGGGAACAGCGCTGGGGAATTGGGGGAAGGGGAACAGACAAGTTGCTGTCGTTTTGTTCTTCAGTCTAGTTGTGGAGGACGCTGCTTCACCGGCCCAAGTTGGCACCATCATTGTGCTCTTCCCGGGCGAGGCAGATCAGTCGCGGGCTTCTGGACGGCCGCTCACTGCGGCTGGTGGCCGCTCACGCTGGCCGCTGGCTACACACAGTAGCCCATGGCAACCCACTGCAGCAGGGGCTGCAGCCTACGCCATCGTCAGCAACTCATGGCAACCCAGCTCCAGGTTGAGCTGTTGTTCAGCATCTTAGCTGTGGAGGGCAGTGTCACTGGCCCGCATATGTGGGATCCCAACCGGCGCCCTCTGGCATCCCAAGCCAGCTCTTAACCAACGCGCCACTCGGCTGGCCCCCGTGTGGAGTATCTTTAATTTTGTAAGAAACTGCGAACTGTTGTCCAGAGCAGCTGTACTACTTTGCTTTCCCACCAGCAATGATTGAGAGTTCTCATTGATCCATGTCCTTACCAGCATTTGGTGTTATCAGTGTTCAGGATTTTAGCTGTTCTAATACATGTGTAGTGGTAGCTCATGGCTTTAATTTGCATTTCCCTGATGATATATGATGTGGAACATCTTTTCACATGTGTATTTGCCATCTGTATATCCTCTTTGATTAGGTGTGTTAAGGTCTGGCCTCTTTTTTAATTGGGTTGTTCTCTTAATATTTTAAGAGTTCTTTGTATATTTTGGATAATAGTCCTTAATCAGATATGTCTTTTGCAAATATTTTCTCCCTTTCTGGCTTGTCTTTTCATTATCTTGACACTGTCTTTTGCAGAGTTTTTCATTTTAATGGGGTCCAGCTTATCAGTTTTAAGTGGATGTGCCAAGGGTGTTGCATCTGAAAAGTCTTCACCATACCCAGCGTCATCCAGTTTTTCTCTTGTGTCATCTTCTAGGCATCTTACAGTTTCGCATTTCACACTTAGGTCTGTGATTTATTTTGAGTTAATTTTTGTGAAGGGCCTAATGTCTGTGTCTATATTGATTTTTTTTTTTTTGCATGTGGATGTCAAGGTCTAGGACCATTTGTTGAAAAGACTGTCTTTGCTCCATTGTCTTGCCTTTGCTAGTTTGTCAAAAGTATGTTGGAACATTCCACCTATCTTTTTGTTTTCTACATTAATTCAGTTGTAGTCTAAGAGCAGACATTATATAATATACTTTTTAATTTTCTTTTTTAAGATTTTTATTGGGGAATTGGGGGAGGGGAACAGTGTTGGGGAACTGGGGAAGGGGAACAGCCAAGTTGTCCTTCAATCTTAGTTGTGGAGGGCACAGCAAGCTCAGCTCCAAGTCCAGTCATGCTGCTCAGCTCAAGGTGCTGTGTTCAATTAGTTGCAGGTGGGCATAGCCCACCATTCCATGTGGGAGTTGAACCAGCAGCCTCGTTGTTAAGAGCGCATGCTCTATCCACTGAGCCATCCGGGCGGCAGCTCAGCTTAGAGTGCTGAGTTCAGTCTTTAGTTGCAGGTGGGCATAGCCTACCATTCCATGTGGGAGTCAAACTGGCAGCCTTGTTGTTAGGAGCACGTGCTCTCACCAGCTGAGTCATCCTGCCACTTGTTGGCAGCTCAGCTCGGGGTGCAGCATCACTGACCCATGTGGAAATTGAAACTGCGACCCTGTTGCTCAGAGCTTGCACTCTTGTACAAGCTCTTAACCAACTGAGCCACTCGGCCGGCCCCTACTTTTTAATTTTCAAGAGTGTGTTTTATGGCCCACAATGTGGTCTGTCTTGGGGAATGTTCCATGTGAGTGTGAAAAGGTGCATTCTTCTGTTGAAGGCTGTAGATGTCAGTTATATTCAGCAGGTCAATGGTGCTGTGGGTTTCACCTGTCTTCGTATAATTTTTTTTTAACTTCCTGTATCTGTCCATTTGTAATAAGGATGCTCAAGTCTCCAACTATAATAGTGAGTTAATCTATTTCTCCCTGCAGTTCTATCACTTTTTGCCTCAGGTAGTTTGACCCTCTGTTAAGGGCATACACATTAGGGATTCTGTCTCAGTGAAGAGTGACCCGTAGGTAAGGCTGCTCTTTATCCCCAATCACTTTCCTTGCTCGGAAGTCTGCTCTGTCTAAAATAAAATACAACTTCTCCCACTTTTGATTACTGTCAGCATGGTACATCTTTCTCCATTCACTTTTATTAGTTGTCTTTGTATTTAAAGTGGCTTTTTTGTAGATAACATGATTTTTGTTTTATGTCCTGTAATGCTTTCTTGATTGCCAGGCATTATGTGCTGGATAAAAGAAACAGCTCTAAATAGGCCTGTAGTAATGTGGTAAGTTATTGGAGGTGGAAGGGATCATAGTTTTATGGTTATGAAAGGACTATGATTAGGTGTGGGTTTTAGTCGGATTGTGTCTTTGGACTGTGAACTATACATACGCTTTACCTTCCCACTGAGATGGGAAAGGCGATGAGTGTGATCTGGAGATAGGTATTTTCCTTCCCCAGGTAAGTTTGGCTCTGGTGAGCTAGCTTCTCTTGAGAGTGCATCTTGTTAAGAATAGAATGCTTCTGGTGTTTGTCACAGTGGTTCCTTTTCCCCCTTTCCCTGTAGGAGGCACAGGGGACTTGTCTCCTAGATGTACCTTAAGAAACTGAGCTACTACAGGTAAAGCTTAAAAAAGAGTGCCACTCCTCCCGAAGTTTTTAACTCACAGACTTGTCGATCCTGAGTCAGCAATTTGTCAGTAACAGTTCAGGTTTCCCTACCTTACTGCTAGTTCCCAGGGAGTTTTTGTCTGGGGTTTGTGCCCCTGTCAGGTGTGATAGATGTACTGGGGGGTCGCAGTTTGCCCTGTAACCTCACTACTGTGATGGATCTAAGAAAAGTTCATTTTCACATCAGCTTTTCACTTTGTTAGGACTAAGTGGCTTTGAAGCTTCTTACATGTCCAGAATCGGGAAGTCTACGACAACATGCGGTGCTGTGCACTTGAAATTAGGGCTGAATTGATATTCCTATAAATGGGCTGGTTTTCAATATTAAATTCTCTTTGCCTCAGTTTCCTCCTTTGTATAGTAAGATGACTTCGGCGTTTCCCACTGGCTAACATCTTCCCACTGCTCCACCACCCAGACCCTGGTAACCGCCATTCTGTTCTTTTTCTATCTATGAGTGCATCTTTTCTAGATTTTACATATACATGAGATCATACAATTTTTTGCTGTGTCCACCTGATTTCAAAATGCTCTTAAGGTCCATCTGTTGTCACAAGCAGCAGGATTTCCTTTTTTAAAACAACGAGTTAGGTTTTGGTAGCAGTTGGAAGGGAGTAGGGAGGGAGGATGTCCCAGAAGAGGGCAGAGGAGTGGGTGGAGGGGAGGAGCCCACGAATGGCTAGAGCGTGTGGTGTTAGTGGGAGAGGGATGAGATGACACAGTGAGAAACCAGATTAGGGGCTTTGTGCCCTGGTAAGGGATGTGGTCACTGTTCCCCGTTTCCTGACAGGCTGTGATAAGCCATTCACATACTGTAACTGCAGTGAGGGAATCAGTGGGTCAGAAAGACCCAGGAGTACTGATAACAGCAGAGGGAAGGCATTGAAAGGAATAGACTGATAGCTTTGGGTGATTAGTGAGGGAGAAAAAAATAACTTCAATTACACCTATGTTTCTGCTATGGGTGACTGGAGAGGGGTCCTGTGGTGGTTTCTAGTGGCAGAGACCTGCTATTGTGGTATTTTGTTGTACTTAAAGACAATGTTGAATTCCAAGCTGAGGCTTCGCTCCTTTTTTTCAATAAGGGAAAAAAACCAAAACCCCAAATTCTTGTATAACTATATTATGCCAGGTTCTTGAGGCATTTTGCTATATTTCTCAACATTGAAATTGAGTGTAAGCTCAGCCTCACCATATATATTGAGTAAATTGACTCAGGAATACTGATTCGAACATAACTATTGCTTCCTTTCTAGTTTTATCTTAACTTCATTTGCCAATTGTATAAATCTGTCTTGCAAAATCAGATGCCTTTTCCAAGGATGTATGAGGTATGATAAAAAAATATGGTGAATGTTTGAATTAAAAAAAAATTTATTACAGTAAAAGACACATTGCCGTTAGTCTCCCTCAAAATACTCTCCCTCACTTCGAACACACTATCCTATCGCTCTTGCCACTTTCTGAAGCAGTTCTGGAAGTCCTCTTTTGTGAATGTCTTTAGTTGTGCTGTCGTGGCTGCCTCCATGTCTTGAATTGATTCAAAACATTTACCTTTCATGGATGGTCATTTGACTTTGGGGAAGAGCCAGAAGTCAAACGTACCAGATCTAGTAAACAAGGTGGATGAGGACACACCGTAATGTTTTTATGTGACAGAAATTGCTGTACCGGAAGTGATGTGTGACACGGAGCGTTGTCATGATGGAGGATGAAGTAAAGGCACTCACGAAAGAGGACTTCCAGAACTGCTTCAGAAAGTGACAAGAACGATGGGATAAGTGTGTTCTAAGCAAAGGGGAGTATTTTGAGAGGGGTTAGTGGCAATGTGTCTTTTACTGTAATAATTTTTTTTAAAATTTAAACATTCACCATATTTTGTGATCATACCTCATATTTATATTAGGAAAATGTCTGGCGTTACTGACACCATTGCAGTGATTACCCCTGAAGAGTGGAAGTAGGGGGGAAATGTGTGTGTGTGTGCTTGTGAATCCATGGTGCTGAATAAGTAGTTTTATAAAGGCTTTGAAATCTAAAGAACTTTTGTTCTCCTTCACTTTGATATGAATTAGTCTTTCTGAAGCCGTGAAAATCCTGAATTATGCTTAGTGTATGCTTGGTCTCTTTTTTTTTGCTTGGTCTCTTTTTAAAAGTCTTTAACAGTGACACTCATCATGTGCTGGCCCACTGTGGCCTGGGAACTGACCAGTCAGAACAGATGCCTACTCTAGTGCCGAAGGTTCTGGGGGCCCCACAGTTTCAGTCAATGCCCCTTGATTTGTGGAATCCTGGGATATCCAGGGAGGAACTGGGCGCCATTAGTTACCAACTCCATGCTGTGCCATCCGGCGCATGCTGGCTGAATGTTGTGACTGGCTGCAGGAGACAATGACTACCGTATTTTCTTCCTAGGACCCAGAAATGGAAGCCTGTATTTCCCATATTCAGTGGTGCCCAGTGAGTATCCTGG